AAACTTGAAAGTGCTTTTTAAACTTTATATATATGGGCAATATTGCCATTCTTGAGACAGCTAAATTCCACCACGTGTGGGCTTGATTGACTCTCTACATAGTTGCTATTGTTGAAAGACAGAATATGAGATGCAAGGCAGGAAAACTCATTGCCTTTTTTTGAACTGTGAGAACCTTTTTGCGTGAGCAAACACCCCGGGTAGCAAGTGTACTTGGGGGCCTTGAAGCCAAATCAGAACCAGCCGTGTGTCACTAAGCCATGAAGAAAGGCATCCACAATGGCCAAAAACCTTTCTGAGTGTCAGGCCCTCCCTGGAAGCAGAGCCTAGGTTGCTTGTGTCCTGATGGTAGTATCACAGATCCTTGAGAAAGAAAACTCTGTTGTATATGAAGAGAACACGCTGTATCTTGTTCCATGGGACAATGAGCTCTGAGCATAACATGCTGCATTCCAGAAGCCAGTGGAAGAAGCAATTGTCTCTGGGTTTAATTATAGATTCTTCACTTTCTCTTAATTGCCTGAGTCAGCACTGATGACTCTGGGGGAGTCACCGAACACAGGCAGCGCTCTTGCTGTTAAACAAGGTTTGACTATCAGCGTAATGAGGTTTTTGTTTGTTCTGTTTTACTTTAAACAACCCTTGATGTATACAGTCAAGTGAGTGTTGACTCTCTTTTCTAAACAAATATTGGGAAATGTAGTATGGCAAGTATGGGTGCTCTTATATGGGAAGGGGCAGTACATTTACTATTAAAGTTCTCCTAGAACACCTAAGCTATGGGATCCTCACAGCTGTGGGGGAGCCCAGGTAGTCTTTGGGACAATGGTAACACAGTAGGAAATACACATTCAATGATCCCCAGAGAGAGTTTTACCCCATAACATATATAGATAAATACTTTTCCTAGAGGAAAGGATCTATGTTTGTTATCCACCTTCCTTTATCCCATAAAGTCTAGTTAAGTGCCTTGCACACAAAAGGTGTCCAGTAAATATTTGTGGGGGCATCCTAACCTATCACAATACGTATATTCATTCTTCATAAAATAAAACATGGAGTCCATATTTTGAATTGAAATAAGTCTTTTGAGCCTAGTGTTTTCATCTCTCCTTCCCAGACACTGTTTCTCCTACTTACTTGTATGGCTAATAGCCAATAAATAATCATTCAACAAGCATTTATTGAGAAATGACTAACTGCCAAGCCCTGGGAAAAATCTGCTGGAAATTCCATGAACATTTTTAGTGTACACACAGAACCTCAGGGCCAAGGATGCTGAACAGGCTCCCATGGTACATAGACTCTGTCGTGTAACCTCAGGAAAGAAAGGGGGTTATAATAACGACAACTAGAACTGAAATTTGGTTGTAGCCTCCCAGTTTCTTTCTCCCAAAGGTGCTTCTCTTTATCTTGCTATGTCTGATCCATTCTCCTTCCTCTATAACCAGACTTCTCTGCTTCCCCATAACTTAGTTGATGCAGGGCCTATTGTGGTATATTAGTCAGGAGAAGCTAGTTATGCTTCAGTAACAAACAACTCCCAGATTTCAGTGACCTGAAATAGCAAAGGTTCATAGCATGCTCTTGCTACATGTCCACCAATGGTTAGTTGGGAGGACAAGGGATGTTCTGCTGGTTGTAGCCACTTGGGAACCCAGAATGATCGAGGAGCAACAATCTTAAAAACGAACATGGTGAGTCATATGCTAACTCTTTAAGTGTCCACTATAAGTCACTTCTGTTCACATTTCCTTGGCCCAAGAAATCAAATGACCATACCTAATTTAATTGGGGAAGAGTGGGTAGAGATATGCAATCCTACCAAGACTCTGATTAGGGAGAAAGGCTAAATATTTGTGAGTAGTCTTAACCATTCTCATACAGGCATCTCCAGCCCAAGCCTGCAAACCCTTTTTGTTTTAGCAGCATCAGTTAATGATTCATACTTTCCACATTCTTTAGTTCAAATTGCAGTTCGAGAGTCTCCCAATACATCTTCACCTGACAGGTCACACACTAGGTCCCTGGTTAGCTGATGGATTTTTCCTTGAGTCATGGCCAATTAGCTGGGAAACAGAGATTTATACTATAGCACATGGCTGTCCACCCCACCTCTTTTGATTCTGTCCAGGAACCAAGAGACCTGTCCAGGACAGAAGAAATGGTTGTTTAAGTCATGTTTTGCTCGTCCTAGCCTTTGGTGACAGAAAGGTCATGAGTGGTGCAGCTCATGAAGCTGGGTTGGGTCTGGCTAGCTGTCAGGCTATTTATGGGACAGAATCTCAACAGTGGTGAAATGGAAATGATTGAGTCCAAGGACCTGCTGTGTTAACCCGTTAGTCTAGGGATCAATAATGTTGTACCAAGGGAGTTTAAATTTTGGCTCTGTGCAACTCTATCCACAACTGGACATCACTATCTTCAACCTCTAAACATAGCCCTACAGGCAGGGAAGAGAAGAGAATCTCACTATAAGACCTGAATGTCTGAACCCAGAATGCAAGTCCCTTCACCACATGCCCCCAATCTATCTTTCCAACATCATATCCCAGTCCACCCCCCCACCCCCACCCCCCCAATGAACCTACTGTCCAACCACCATCAAACATTCCCTTTTCTTCCTTGGCTCATACAATACCCTCCTCTCTAACTAACCACTACCCTTCCTCTAAAATCAGTTTTAAAACCACCACTTCAAGAGAAGTCTTTTTCTGTCTGCTCTGACCTGGTCAATCCAATTTCTTCCTCCTCTGAATTCCTATACCCCTACTCATGCTGGACATGGAGAGCATGGGTGTGTCTTATTCATCTGAGGATCCCAGAGCCTAGTGCTTGGCTAACAGATAGCAGGTGCTCACCAGTGGTGTGTTTGATGAATTGTCTGTAGCACCTGTTCATTCAAGGAAACTTGAACAAGTTCCTCTGCTAGGTTAGGCACAGCAGACGAGAGTCAGTAATAGATGGTCCCTCTAAGAGTTTCTCTAGTTCAGCTGCCTCATTTTATAGATGAGAAAACTGAAACCCAGAGAGGAAAAATGACTGGCCCTCTGCCACCCAAGCAGCCACAATTTACTGAGCACTTTGCTATCTGCTAGACAAAATGCTTTTCATTCGTGATCTCATTTTCATCCTTGTGACAACCCTGAGAGTGAAGAATTTTTACACCTACTTTAGAGAAGAGAAAACTGAGGCGTAAAGAGGTTGTAACATGGCTAAGGCCACATTGCAAGGAGGAGGCCAGGCCAGGTTTGGATCCCAAAGTCTAACTCCTGAGTCCCTACTCTTGCCCCCTCTGCGGAGCTCCAGGCTGGGAAGTCAGCTCCCTGTAGTCCACACATCTGTATATTGCTGATAAGCCTTGAACTTTGTCCGTGCTGCAGTGTCGGGGTTGACATATGGCGATTGAAGGGTTCCGGTGAGTTTCTGTGCCGAGCAGCCCCTATGCACACAGATGTACTGTTCTGACCATTAGGTCAGGGTATGTTTTCCCTCCTGGGCAGTTGGGTTAGTGGAAGAAACCTGATAAAATTCTGGAGAGGAACTTGATCTTTCTCTGAGGACTTACAAGTTGTTTGGCCTGCCTAGTCTGCTCAGATACCATTCAGGGAATATTCAGTATCCATGTAGTACAGGTTGTGAATTAATCTATGGGGACTCTTAACAAGACCCTCACCAACTCTGTCTCAGCCAGTCAGGCAGAGCCTTGGGGCAGCCCCCTTTCTTTCCCTCCCACCAAAGTTCTGAAAAGAGCAGGCTTTTCCTCTTTGGGGGCTGAGAGGAGTAAGAGAGAGATGCAGAGGAAATCCTGCTGCCTCCAAGCTGAGCTCACTTACACAGAGCTGGGCCTGTTCCCTCCTCCGAGTTATGACTATGGATACAATGACTTAGCTGGGTTAACATTTATCCCATGTTTTGGCAACCTGGTACCTGAACATCTACCACAGCAAGAGGCCAAATCCCTAAAATCAGTGCAAGAAAAATTATGAAAAGTTAGATCTGGAGGCACCCTGGGGATCATCTACCCCCTGGATTTAAAGATGAGGAATCTACTGCATGGAGGCTAACTCCTCACAGTCACACAGTTGCTGGTGATAGAGACCAATGACCAAGTTGTCTGAGTCTAAATTCAGTGTTCTTTCATCTTCAACTCCTACCCACCCACCTTTCCTTCCCAACCCTTTGCAGAAGCACTGCACAGGCACATGCAGAACTAAGCCAACTGAGTCCTGTGTCCCTAAAGTATTTGACTAGCCCTCCCTGAGGGGAAGGGCACACAGAAGACAGATCACCAGGCATTCTGACCTGCACCAGCAGGAAAAGTCTCAGGAGCGGCCCCCAGGTCTTGCTCTCAACTCTCCCTTTCTCTACTCCAGTTTAGTTTCAGGAAAGTGAGAGACCACGATGACACCTGTCGGGCTGAAAGCTGCTTGGGAAACTCTGGGCAGATGCCCGGAGCATTAAGACCTGGGTGCTGGCTGCTGGGGACCCCGGTGGCCTGATGCTGAGCGCGCTGGAGTCCAGCGGCTCAGGGGGGAGACGCGCACCTGCCCCCTGCTCCGCTTCCCTGGGCTCCTGTGACTCGGGCGGGCTTGGCTGGGGACCCTAATGGCGGGGCATCGGCTCCCAGGGAAGGGTGCGCACAAGGCAGAGGTTAGCACCTCGCCCCCGGCTCGGCCCTAGCGAAGTCCCAACGCCATCTCCCTGGCGTACAGGTTTGAAAACGGGGCGGCCCAAGGCGGCCGCGCTGCTGCGGCGCCGGTCCCCATATATAGTCATATCCACCGTCAACTGGGAGGCTGGCAGGCGGCAGCGAATGGGCGAGCAGCCCCCGCGGGAGGAGCGGGGAGGGCGCAGGGGGCGGAGGGAGGAGAGGGGAAAGGGGGCAGGAGAGGAAAGCTTTTCCAAAAAAGTATTGGCTGTCTTGAGGAATGCGGTCGTCCCCTCGGGAAAGTACATATCTGGAAGGAGCAGGCGGCTCCGCGCTCGCACTCCGGCTCGGCTGCCCCACCGCGCTCTCGCCTCGCCACACTCGCCGCCCCCGGGCCCCTCGCCGCCGCCACCATGGATGCCATCAAGAAGAAGATGCAGATGCTCAAGCTCGACAAAGAGAACGCCTTGGATCGAGCTGAGCAGGCGGAGGCCGATAAGAAGGCAGCGGAGGACAGGAGCAAGCAGGTCTGCACCTCCCCGCCCTGAGTCCACCGGGCGGGCACCCGAGCCCTTGGACCGGCCTGACACCCCTTCCCGGCCCCTCAGCCCGAAGACTCGGGGAACCACCCCCTTCCCAGGACAGCCAGGGATGTGCGTCTGAAGAGGGGAGGAGGGAGAGAGCAAAATTCGGGCTTATTTTAACTTTTTAGGCTCGTCTGAGGACATGTATTTCCCTTCTCTGGTTCCCAGGGCCCGCGAAGTCAATTCAAGCCCTAGAGGCACTTGATTCTCTGGATTGGGAATCAAATTTGGACCCGTGGGGGTGGGAAGGAGGGGGGTGGGGGGTGGGGGGTGGTGTTGAAGGGAATTGAGTCCAGAACGTGTTCGAAGTTCTTCTGGACATTTCCCCAGGGGTACTAATCCCTTCAACTGGGGGGGGGGGGTGCAGGGTCATGGAGTTTTTCCCTAAGAACAAAGATGAGACAGAATAGAGAGTAAGGCCTGAAGGCCAGGAGGATAGGGACTTTTATCTGCACCCCCAAGTTGTAAACTTGAGTCCACTGGGACATGGCAGGAGTCTCGTCCTGCGGGGAGGTCGGGTGCAGGGTGGGCCACGGTTCACCTCAAGCTCCGGCAAGAGGAGGTTACCTGGGGACCCTTAAATCCAAACTCGGAGGCGCCCTGAGCCAGAGGAACCCCAGTCAACCCAGCGCCCCGTGTGTTGTGTGTGTCTAACACCCGGTCCGTGCCGGCCGCCCGCGCCCGCCGCTGCCCCCTAGCTGGAGGAGGACATCGCGGCGAAGGAGAAGCTGCTGCGGGTGTCGGAGGACGAGCGGGACCGGGTGCTGGAGGAGCTGCACAAGGCGGAGGACAGCCTCCTGGCCGCCGATGAGACCGCCGCCAAGGTACCCGGGGCGCGCGGCTCGGCGCAGAATGGCTAACTCTGTCTCTCTCTCTCTCTCCCTCCCTCCCTCTGTCTTTCCCTCTCTCTGTCCTGCTGTCCCTGTCCTTCTGGTTCTGTGCACCCACACCCCTCCCCTGCGGGATCACGCTGCCTGCTGCACCCCCCACTCCCCGTCCCCCACGGCAACTCCCAGCTGGAAGATGAGCTGGTGTCGCTACAAAAGAAACTCAAGGGCACAGAAGATGAACTGGACAAATACTCCGAGGCTCTCAAAGATGCCCAGGAGAAGCTGGAACTGGCGGAGAAAAAGGCCACCGACGTAAGTGCTCACACACACTGCCTCCCTCACCTCCTGCCCGCCCGCCCGCCCACTCTGGAGTCACCACAGGGGCCAGAGAGCAGTGGAGGAGGGTCACCTCCTCCCACTGGACACCTGCATATAGCCCTGCCATGGCCCAGAGCACTGGATGCTGCCTCAGACTGCTACTGCATATATCGTTTATATTTCATCTGCTCCTCTCTCTTTTTCTCCTTCTTTACCCCCACCCCTGGGGGTTGGGGGGGGGGGTGAGAAGCTGGAAGGACAGCACAGCTGAAATTGGATGCTGGGGGTGAACCTTGCCTCCCTGGTAGTAGAAAACCTCTGAGGTATCCTTACCAAGTTTTGTGCAAGCAGAATGCCTAGTTTCTTTCCTTTTGCCATCTCTGGTGGGTGGGAAGGCCTGGTTTTCAGTGATGTGTCTAGTCAGAGTACAGAGGGCCTGGCCTCTAGAGTAAAGGAATAGTTTAGTGCTACTTTTACTTAGAAAGCTGAGCTTGATGGTGGGGCACAGAGACACCTGAGGCCTTCTTTCTCACTAAGAAAGCTTTAATTCAGTCCTTAAGATCTGCCTGGGAAGATGATACTTGCTTGGGTCTTCAGCCTGAGAGCACTAGATCCAAAAAGTAAGCTGGGGGTTATATATAGCTCAGTGCTTTATATGGTATAGTGAGCTAGCTGCCCCCTGCCCCTCCTGCTCAGGCCACCCCCACCTGTCAGCCTTCTGACAACCACCACATAGTTAAAGGGGTGATGCAAACACGCAAAAGCTCTACTAGCGCTCTATTCACTGCCCTTTGGAGGAATCTTTTTAGCTGAAGAGCTTGCCTCTTCTGCTGCCTAAGTCAAGCCAAGCATTAGATTTCCAAAGGGCTTCTTTTCACACCGTTGGATTCCATTCTAGAAGCTAATTAAGCCTAGCGGCCCAATTAGGAAAGAATTCCTTGGGAACAATTCCAAGAATGTATGAGCACCAGAAAAAGCTATGCCCAGAAGTTAAACTACCAAGTGCAACTGGCAGAATATTTTGTCTGAGAGGAAAATTCAAATTGCTGGAGGGTCTTGAGTCTTGAAATCAGTAAAGGCTTTTTGTGGAATTAAAGGCTTGAAATGTAATTTCCAAGTGTGTTTGTAAATGAGAAATCCAGACTTGGGACGTTTAGAATCTGACCAAAAAAAATTTCAGTGAAAATCAAGATTCCTGGAAAGGGGGTTCAGGGAAGCACTCATTTAACTAAAATATTTAAGTTATGAACTACCTGGCTTTAGAAAAAGAGCCAAAGAACACATAACTCTGCCTGCGTTGTATAATGTAGATCAGATGTCAGCTCTGTATAAGGCTAAATGGAGGACGTCTTTCTTTCCCAAATTCTCCTGCAGGACGTTTATTTAGCTTTTTCAAAAGAGCCGCTGATAGATCAAGGAGAGATATTCCTTATAAGGTAAAGAATGCAGAGAATTTGAAAATAGCTCAGTAAGGCAGAAGGCAAGAGAAGGGGGGAAAAGATACTACAATTCTTAAGGAAAAAATAGATCATAATTATTGTGACTATGTCGTGTTACAGGTCTTTATTGAAAAGTCTTATTTAAGGGAGCCTAGGAATGAGGTGGGGCAGAAGTGGAAAAGAGGTATTTAAAGTCAGCTGGGGGTGGGGGCAGGACCAGCCGTGAAGGGAGATTTTAGAAACTGTTTTGATTCTTTTTTTTCCCAACAGGAAAACTGTCCCTCATATGGTACACTTTTTTATATATATAGTATATATTGATCACCTTCCCCTTTAAGACATTTTAGGTTGTTTGGAACCTGTAGGGATATTGAAGAAGTTTATGAAGAAATGCTATCTTTAGAGTGAGTCCTAATTAGTAAAAAAATAGTGGACTTGACTAGGAAGAGATAGTTGTCACTAGAGAAAGTCAGGCGAGGGGTCAGCTTCCTGAGGTAGTATTATATTACATCTGTGATTAGGACATTTCCCTATAATTATCTTGTGCATACAAAGTTAAGAACTGTACAAGAGTTTTACATTTTTCTACTATTACTAAAAACATTTTCTAATTTACCAGCACATTTGACACACTATTCCAGAAGTGGGCTCTTCCTAGCTTAAAAGGTGGTACTTTGCGAGGCAGCATCCCCATTGGTTTTGTTTTAAATATTTTTGTTGTCATTCTACCTAAGTGAGGCTGAAGAGGAAGGAGTGCTCCAGTTTCTCTCTGGCCCCCAACCTCCACCCCTATAACTGTGTGTGTGTATCTGATATTTGCAGTATGTGAGTATTCCCTGTAAGTCTTTGCTTTCTAAAGTGATTCTCAACCTTATCTAAACAGAATCACCTAGGTAGGTTTTAAAACTCAAAATCCAGGCTGTACCCCAGGCCAATTAAACCAGAATCTCTGGGAGTGGAACCCAAGCATTAGCATTTTTTAAATACCCAGGTGATTCCAATGTGTAGCCAAGGCTGAGAACTATCCTACACTCTTGTATAATGACATCAGCATGAAAATTAACTCACCTGAAACTGACTTACCGAGGTGTTTGATAAAGCAGGACATTGAGTCACTAGTTGGCTGCTGAAAACATGTGCAAGTGTCCAGCAGGTTCCCTGGCTTCTCCTGAAGGCTCTCAGTCGTCCCCTTCCCCACCCTCAAGGTTGGAGTCCCCTGGTCTGTACTCCTTGAGGGGACTTGTAACCTTCCGCTTGACCAGATGAACTGTGTGGAAACAAAGCAAGAGGCTCCACCTACAGGATGTGAGGTCCCATGCTGGTGTTGGGGAGATCTCAGAAGAGACTGTGAGAAAGTCTATAGAAAATGAGTCAGGAAAGCTAAGGTTTGTTAGAGCTCTGGAGGAGGAGGAGGAGGATGTCAAGTCTGTTTTCTTTTTCTTCATTATTCCCACACTTAAACACATCAGGATCTGAATTGAAGGGCCTCCTTTGAGAAAGTTGAGGATTTAAAGCAGTGAGACTTCGGGGGCATTTAAAAACACAGCCCAAGGGGCAAATTGGCAGAGGACAGTTCCCAGAGATTGTATTCACGTTGGTTTTCAAACAGCTGTTGCCAGAGGCTCTTACAGGGTTTTTAGCCTTCCTTGGTGTGCCTTTTCAAGGCAGCGCAGTCCAGCCCAGAATTGGTCAGATCCCAGATCTCAGTTCATTTAAAACCACAGAAGGTTGTAACCAAAGGAACCCTTGAGATGATTGGTTTTAGGGACAGGAAAGTGAGCCCCAAAAAGGCTGGAATAAAGAGCTGGTTATGGACCCCAGCCTGACTCTTAAGACTGTGCCTGCCTACATAGTAACTAAAGCTATCATTTGAGTTCTTAACTAATGTATGTACAAGATATTGTACTAAGCGCTTTATATTATTTCGTAAACCTCACATCGGTTCAATGATAAAGTACTACTACTAACCCCACTTTTACAGATGAAGCCCAGAGAAATCAAGTTATTTGTCCAAAGTCACACAGCCAGGAAAGAACTAGAAGCCAGATTCTAACCTGGGAAGACAGCATTTAGAATAGGTTTAACCACCATGCAATATGTTAGTGGTTTTCACTTCGTGAGTTTTGGGGGAAGAGGACGGCTATTGTGTTTAGGATCTTGTGTTCTGGAGAAAACACCCAAACCCCTCTCTCAGCTCCCCCTCCGGGACCTGGGGATACGGGATCCGGAGCAGAGCGCGGCGCTCCTGCCGCCGGCAGGCGGCACCATTACCCTTAGCAGCCAGGCCCATTGCCCTGAGACAACGCGGAGCCGGGGAGGGGCGCTGGGAATCTAAGTAAAATCCATGGAGCTGTGGCCTCCTTTCCTGCAGGGCCCACCCAGTTCGCCAGGTGCCCCGTAGTGCGCCCCCACGCCTGCCATCCCGGCTGCAGCGAGCATGCGCAGCGCCTCCTGCGGTTTGCAAATTCCCGGGGTCCGCGGCGCGCGCCCCGCCCCGCCCGCTGTGCCCGCCTCCGGCGCTCGCGCACCCGCTTGCGGTTCGCCTCTGCTGCCCGGGAGACCGCGACTTCCGGGCTGGTCCAGGACCGCAGGGGGCGCCGCCGTCGCGCCGCGAGGCCTGGGCGGGGCGGCCGGGCGTTCGGGAGTGCTGCAGCGGCGGCCGGAGCGCAGCAGCCGGCCTCTCCCACCGCAGCCCGCCCGCCGCCGCCCCGCACGATGGCGGGGAGCAGCTCGCTGGAGGCGGTGCGAAGGAAGATCCGGAGCCTGCAGGAGCAGGCGGACGCCGCGGAGGAGCGCGCGGGCAGCTTGCAGCGCGAGCTGGACTACGAGAGGAAGCTGAGAGAGACCGTAAGGGACCCACCCGGGGCGCCTCCTGCCCAGTCGGCCCCGCCGCACGCCGCAGAGCCCTCCGGAGCCCCCCACCCTCTCCCCCACGCCCTGGGGCGCACCTGGGCCGCTGGCGGCGGGCTCTGCGGCGGGGCCCTGCCCGCTTCCACCTCTCTGGTCAAATAAAAGCTCCGGGGGGAGCAGGAGTGGTGTTGAGAAGGTTCTGGACGCAGCACTCGCCCAGCAGGGGCTCCATATCTGGGGTGTTTGGGTTCGGCCCGGGCGTCTCGATTCCCCCAGGATGTGCACTTTGCGCTGCTGGCATTCTTTACTCGGAGGGTGGGGAGGGAAGAGGGAAATCCCTTCCTTTGGGAGGGGCGCCGCCCGGCACGTCTGAAGCACTACCGAGCTTTGGGGCTCGGGGATGCTAAGCTCCGCCATCCCCGTTGACCCTTGGTTTTCTGGAAGCCCATTTCTCTGTAGTGGTTGAGACATTGACAGCGCCAGATTCTGACATACGGTTTGCGGCCCGTTGACGTTTCCCTTTCTTAACCATCTCTCCTTCCAAATTTTGTTAAACAGATAAATATTCCTTTGTTACTAAGTCTTGAAAAAAAAGTTGGCTAAATGTCAAGGTTATTGGGTGTATTCTCTTGCCGGCTTCCCCCTCCCCCATGTTGAGTGTAATACCTAGCTTCCTTTCTTTCTCCGAAGGCAAGTCCAGCAAAC